ATGCATCCAGCCTTTCTCGCGATTTGTGAACGTTCTGCTTTCCCAGGAGTTCCAGCTAACCACCTTTATTTTGAGCTTTTCAACTATTTTTGAAAGCAACAAGCTGTTACAATAGGATGATGCGGTATTATACACTTTCCCTGTATTTGTACCCAATACGTGTCCCCAAGGTTGCCTGCATCTGCGCCATGGGTGGCTTGTGCTGGCGTCATTGCTTTCTCAATAAACAAGCCTAGCCAAGTCATCGAAAACACCACTACGCATGGGCGCAGCCGTACCAAGTAGCAGTGCGTGTCATTTTCGAGACAAAATATAGGTATAAAAACTACATACTTCACAAGATCTCAATCCCATAGGTCTCAAACGGAGTGTATATTGCATACTACTAATGCAGCCCTATAGGTACATTTTTATAAAGTACAGTCGTACCCTGCTACAACGAAACTGACAGGGCGCAGAAAAAATTTCGTTGAAGCAAAAATTTCGTTGTAGTGAAAACGAAAAAATTATAGTTGATCTGGGCTAGTAAAACTAAAACGTTTATTCTGAAAATTCAAAAAATGTCCGCTGCTTCCTATTCTTTCTCAGCAATGTTGCGACGCGATTGTCACCCATGCATAGCGACGCCATGGTGAAAAGCACACTGAAACAACGCCTAAAGCCGCCTTCGTGAACGAATCAAACAGTTGCATGAACACGTTAGTGGTTTGTGGACGTTCGGACCAGCAGCTGTCCGCCGTCAAAAGTATCTGACAACGCCGAGATGGAGGCAGGGTATCATGGAGCGGCGACTTTTGCATTATTCTATGCCATTCTTATCATCAATCACCCGCGGTTAGCAGATTTTGTTGATAATGCGGACGAACAGCCACTCTGATTAGTTACCACACGGGCCAAGCGCGAACATTATGATAAGCATTGGAATTGGAAAGGCATCGTTCTGCAGTTGCACCCAGCAGCTGCATGACGGAAACCATGAACTGAGCGACTGAGCTTCAGCTTCGGATCGTCTGTGGCTCAAGGCAAGCCAGTGGCAAAAACAGGGCAGTCTCATTGCAGTTGCTATCAAGCAACGGCGACACTCATGCCTGTTGAACAGCAGCAGTACAAACGAGCCCAACTATATCGAACCCGTTTATATCAAATTATCCCGTATATCGAACAATTCCTAAACACGGTAAGTTTACATTGAGAATATATAGCAAAATTTACTGTTTTATCGAACGAAAATAGCAACGACAACTGATATATCAAACTCCATGTGCCTCAAAAGTGCCCCAGCAAGTTGGCTTTCCCTCGCGGTGGCGGCGAAAACTGCTGGCGCCACCCTAGAAAAAGTTGGTTAGACCCGGTTGTGCACGGGCGAACACCCCCCTCCAAGAAATGATCCTGGCCCGCTCACAGCGCTTACAGCCAATCAGAGGCCGTCGTGCTTTCTCCGAGGCGCGGAGGCGGTAGAAGTGAGCGCCATTTTTTCTTTCTTTATGCTTGTGTGCCTGCTGCTGCCGATTCAGCGTGGTCTGTGGTGTTGCCTGTTGGTGCTCTGTGAACTGTGTTGGCGCGCTGTCATTATGGCTCGCGCAAAGAGGCAAAATTTGCCATTCACCAATAAACTCGAAATCATCAATCGGGTTGAGCGCGGTGAAAAGAAGTCCAACGTCGCCGCCGCGTACAAAATTCCAAGGTGCACCTTGAGTACTATCCTTAAGAACAAGGCAGACACCAGGGCCAAGTCGGACAAAAGGCCAGGTGCCCGTGGTGCCCGACGTGTGCGCGCTGCTGTGTACGAAGGTGTTGAAGCCGCCGTTTACAAGTGGTTTGTGGACGTTCGGTCGCGAAACATCCCGGTGTCCGGCCCTATGATCGAGCAGAAAGCCAAAGACCTTGCTTTTCTGCTTGGCAGGAATGATTTCCAAGGTGGTTCAGGCTGGCTTCAGCGGTTCAAAGAACGGCACGACATCGTTGGCAAAGCTGTTACAGGTGAAAGCAGAGCGGCGGACCTGGGCAGCGTAGAAAATGACTCGAGAAAAACTGGCGAGATATCGCAGCAAGATATAGAGCCCAAGATATCTCCAATGCAGATGAAACCGCTCTATTTTGGCAAATGTTGCCAAACAAGACACTTGCGTGTCGTGGCGACAAGACAAGCGGCGGCAAGGCAAACAAAGCTCGTGTGTCCGTGCTGTTGGCAGCTAATTTAGACGGATCGAAAAAGCTTCGACCTCTGGTTATCGGGAAAAGCATGGCACCGCGATGTTTTCGAAATGCGCTGTCGCTTCCAGTTACCTACCGAGCAAACTCAAAAGCGTGGATGACCGGGGAGCTTTTCAGCAGATGGCTATCGTCGTGGAATGATGATTTGGTAGGCGAAAATAGCAAAGTGTGCCTGCTCGTGGACAATTGTTCATCGCACCACTGCAGTACGACCTTCAGCAACATCGAACTGCGTTTTTTGTCCCCGAACACTACGTTTGTACTGCAACCACTGGATCAAGGTGTTATACGCGTAATGAAAGCCGGCTATCGGAAGCGCCTGGTGGAGAGGCTGCTGCAGAACCTTCGTGTCGGCAGGGAGCTTAAGATCGACTTGCTCGGAGCTATTTCTATGTTGAGTAGATCGTGGGCAGTTGTCAAGAAGGAGACGATCCAGAACTGCTTTAGGCATGCCGGCTTCCGCATGCCTGGTGATGACACCCCAAATGCTGACAGCACTGAAGACACCGCAGGTGTTTCCACCGAAGTTTGGAACGAGCTGGCAGAGTTCCCGGGTGCTATCGACGGATCGACATTCGACGAGTTCGTCAGTGCGGACGATGATGTCCCCATCATGGGCTAATTACAGGACGAGGATTACATTGCAGACGTCCTGCTGACTACGAGCCAAAGCAACAGCAATATGGAAATCGACGACGGCCCATTGCCTACATCCTCTGAAGTGATTAGTGCACTTGCGTTGGTCCGGCGCTATTGCTTGAATATGGAAGGTTGCGGCCTCAGCTGCTCCCACTCGTTGGACAACGTAGAGGCGTGCGTGCTGTCGCAGGCAACGAAGTCGTTGACACAGAAAAAAAATCCGGGACTATTTTGCTCCACAGTAGGGCACGCAAGTGAGCCACCATATTAATGAAGTACTTTTCTTCTAGTTTGTTATGTGCCTTTGTGTGAAAACCTATACCGAGCCTATATCAAATTATGCCATATATCGAAGTAATCAATGTTTTTTGGCGAGTTCAATATACCCGGGTTCAACTGTATAGCGGCGGTTTTTGGTGGTGCCAACGCGTGTTTTAGACTTTGTTGATGCATTTTCAGGCTCTGAAAATGCATCGAACTGTTAAAGATTGGGTTTACTACATAAAAGTAAGTGCCTGAGCCTGGAATTGCATCGTAAAATTTTGTTGAACTGGGACGATCGAAGAAAAAGTGTTTGTTGTGGCGACTATATTTATGCATTGACTTCTATTGACTGCTGACAGGGAATCGTGACTTTTTCGTTGTAGCGGAAATTTCGTTGAAGCGGCGTTCGTTGTAGCAGAGTTCGACTAATATATTTTCATTTGAAAGTAACCAACAATATTTCGAAATATTAACAAAAACATTGTCGACCACGAACAGCAATCAAAGTCATGCCACCAGGTACATCGTACTGTTCGTATTTGTCACCAGCTAAATTGTGGCGATTTGCAGTGAAGAAATAAAAATGTAAATCCACCTCTTACGAAAAAAACAGGGTTGGTTTTACTCAATGCGATGGACAATCTTATGATCAGTGAAGTCGCCTTATTTTATGTTCTGGGCAGTTCTCGGTTCCTTTCACCCCTTAATTGCTTTGGATCTGCTCGTCCTGCCCTAACTTTCACCAAACTGCTTTGGGCGAGTAGAACTCAACCTAGCGGAATACGTGCTCCCCTCCAGCGTTCAGACAGAGAAGCGCGCATTTACGGCTTACATTGCATGTCATCTGCCAGATGGCAGCATTTTCTCGAGGATTTATTTTTCTCCAGTGGCAGGAGCGTAATTTTTGTAGGGAAGGATGGTGTGCGGTTGTGGCGGCACATGCATAGTTGGCCCGTGAAAAAATGCTATCCAGAAGTGAAGACAGCGATGACAGTAAATTGCGTAGCTGTTTCGGTGACGATGAAAGCAGCCTGAACACAAACATTGGGAGTGCCCACCAGTGAAGCCGCCTTGCATTATTTCGAGTTTTGAAATTTTCCACACAGCCCCGAAGTTTCACGAATAAAATACCCCAAGGGTGCTTAGCCTACAGAAGTGAAGAAAGATGTGGCATTTGTAACTGTTTGGTTTACAAGGTTTTTAAATTCTATTAGCCGCAGGTAGCTGGTTTCTTATGTTGTGTTCAAAAATAAACCTTATTTCATTGATTTGACTAAGTACGCGGGGAAAATATTTTTTTTTGAACATATACTAGCTGCTTTTTTCAATAAAATCATATTTGAAATCGGCAATAAAAGAAATAGGCACTTTTTGACTGGAAATTTAAAAAAAATGAGCACTTGAGGGGTTTAGCTACTGCGTTGACATCCTCGGTCCCTGGGTACCCAAATGGGTACCATGGTCTTTAAGGCTACAGATCACCACAGTTCAATATCCGCGTGTCCAAATTTGTCTCGGCACAATAAGGATGAGTTGCCTTCACGAAGCCCTGAGAAGTGGCGCTGTGTGTCTATTCATATTCGCAAAACGAGCGAATCAAAATAACTAAGTACTGCATGAGCGCTCCTCGTGATAAGTGAAAGCTTTTGTTCTTTTCAGTTGAAGTGTGAACAACAATGCCTTTAGTACATTCCTTTAACTGTGGGCACTCTGTAGATCATATTGAAAGCCATTTCGGTCTAATATTTTTGTTTCACTTAATCTTAGAGACTTCAAAAGATCAGGAGTACGCAAATGGGTACCATCCCATTTTGAGACAGCCATTAAATTTATTGGATACATAATTTTTGTGCACTTGTTTTTAAGGGCAAGGAGTCAAATAATACAGTTTTGCAAAAGCATTTTTTATTGGTGCATCCTTGGGATTGAGGAGGGTAAAAAAAGAACAAAAATTAGCCTATCGCTGTGCTTATGCACTTGTGATCCTTGACTTAAAGTGATTATTGAAAGAAACAGTAGGAGCAACGCACACTTGGTACTCTAAACTTACACCATCAAAGATGGCAAGAGCATGTGTTACTGATCCTTCTATCAGCATTTATAGTGTAGACAAGGAGTAACTCATTGTGACGCATCTCATTCTTAACACATGCGCCCTTGGTGCTATCCTATTTCACTGCTTCCACCCATGACTATGAGCGAATTTGCATTTGTCCCTGTATTCTTCCTTGTGGATGCCTTTTTTTTTTTTTGCGACGTTATACTTTCAAATCCCTGTGTCTCTTCTCATACACGAGGAATTCAAAAACGTTTTTGAGTAATAGATTAGCGAAAAAATGAGCTCCCATACTGGGGTATTTCGATTACTAAGAAAGATGTTACAAGGCCCCTATAATATGCTCTATGTTGAAAGACATTGTATGTACAATGCTATATGCATGATGAAGTCAGATGTGACCGCATGTTGGCCATACACTCGTGTCCATTCTAGCAGTTGCAATAAAGAGTTTGTATCACAGCATCAGACACTGGATGAGACATGCCATGTGCCAGCTCAAACGCACAAAATGCTCAGTGGAAGTGTTCGCGCGCAAGTCCCATTTGGCACAGAGGTCAGCCTTTATTACTGAGCGAACCATCCATGTTCTTTCTTGTACGTTCCCAGAGGCGGTACACGAGCTCTGTATCTAGGTCGGGGTGACCAAGAGGCGGCGGGCCACCATCGCGCAGCCAGGCACGGGCATCACGAGCGTCGCGTGCCAGCCGCGGCCCGAGGTCAACGTGCTCAATGCCCAGGCGCTGCGCCAGGATGCCGGTAACAAGCACATCATCAACCCAGAAATAGGGCACATCGGCCGAGGCACGGTACAAGTCCCGCACCACATCAGGTGACATAAATATAGCCCAGCCAGAGCAGTAGGGCGGGTAGCGGTGTGGCCGGTACTCGCGGAAGCTGACACGCCACTTGCTGCGCTGGCTGCGCTTGACGTAAGGCCGCCGGATGAGGCCGCACATGAGGAGCCGGGACGGTGCATGGGACCCTAGTTGTGCGCTCACCTGGAACAGGTCTATGAAGACGTCATCATCTGTTTTGAGCACATAGTGTGCCTGGCTGCAGTGAGTCGCCACCCACTTGAGCCCCATGACGTGCTTGTACGTCAGGTTGTGGTAGCTGTCGACAAAGTTGCCCATTACCAGGTCACCGTGCGCGGCGCTCTCGGCGCGCAATGCACCCTCCAGGCCGGCTGCCTGGCCCACGAGGAAGACGAGCACCATGGCGCGCGCAGTTGCAGCGGCCAGGGCACTGGCGTTGCCCCACGTCTCGCGAATGGCGCGCCGCCGGCCGAAGTGCGCCGGCGCAGAGTGCACGAACACGGCCAGGAACAGGTCGCGCTGTCTGTGGCAACGACTGCTGTCCAGCACAAAGACAAAGTCGCGCCGGTCCACCAGCCGGCCCGGCTCGTCCGACACATTGCCTGCCACTCCATTGCTGGACTCCAGCGGCGGCGACGGCGGCGATGACGACCAGCGAGACCACACTGCCAGCGATGCCAGCAGCAGCAGCACCAGGCCAGAGCGCCGCTCGCGAACCATGCGCTGAGTCAGCATGTTGCTCCTGGAAAAGTTTCATCCCTCTCAGAAATCCTCCACGACAGCAGCTCATCAAGTTCGCACAGCTGACACCAGTATAACAAATTGTGAAATAGCAGTCGACCACTGCAATGATCAACTCGGATTGACTGATGGATGCCAGTCAGTGGCACACATGAATTCAACGGTTGGCATTTGCACATCTGTATGGCAATGCAATCACAGCGACAGTCAGGCAAGAAAGAAGAAAGACTGTGGAGAACGAATTCCTAATCTTCTTTAGTTTCTGCCATGCCTGCAGTTCATGCACATAGTAAACTAATTTACCTCAATATTAGGAGCTTTGATGCATCTACACATCCACAGAAAAAAAAAACATTTCGCCAGTTCCTCTCCGTGAAACCTGTAAAACAAACTGAAAGTAAGAAAAAACTGAAAAAAAAAAACCGACAGTCACTTCATTGGCAATAATAAAAGGATTGTCAATGCTTATGCCACAAATTTCGATATCAATATCTGTGATGTCATTTTTATCTTTAGATGTGCAAGAAAATAACTGGTCTCTTGTAGCACGCACTTCATCACGAAAAGTGCAGAAGGCTTCAAAAATTCCTTCCTGTCGCCAAGCTTTCGAAATTCTTTTATCTTGACTTTCAGATGTATAAGGTTTCGAACCATCCACGAGTACTCCCTGTTAATATGCTTTTTTTTAGAAGAACGCGCGCATTTTCACAATGAATGACCATGTCTCTGAGCTTTCACCACAGCTCATTGAAGTCATTTGTTTTATTAAAGGGGAAGAAATAAGCATTCCATGCAACTAATGACTCCATCATCATCCACATTGTCACGAGTAAAGAGGCGGCATAAACGACGATGACGACGAAGCAGGAGGAGAACCACGCGGAACAGGCATGAGTGCACGCATGGAGTAACACTCAGTATGATACGCGTGACAAAAGGCGTAATGCAAGACAACAGTACAATGAGCTGGCATTGCTTGCAGGGTTATGGTAGAAGAAGGTTGCATCAGTACTCATACTCTGTCAACGGTGCAGTGAGCGATTGGTTTCAAAGGCTGTGACGCTGGACCACCGTGGCTGAGCAGTTGACTTCGACAACGCTCAGATGAGGTTCTTCGGAGGCGCTGCAGCATCTTTCAGCTGTTCTGGACTTGCCCACCACAGTTCAAACGTCAGCCAGCAGCAATCCCTAGGACGACGCTACGTCATGACTTTGAGCCAGCCTCGTATTAGCCCTTACTGACGAAGATGCCATGCCACGTCATTGCCAGCGGAGGGGAGAAGGCTTATGGAAGTGTGGCTGACCGTGATGCATTGGAGAAACGAGTGAAGAGGATTGTCAACTCTCAACAGCAACATTGGCTGTGGACCCAACGCAACGGAAGTTGGCCTTGCAGCAATCTACGGGTCCAACAAAAGATGTTCGATTCGAGCCAGGATGCAACGGTGAGGCTTAAGTGGCCAGACTATAGGGAATAAAAGAAAGAAGTGTACATTTAAGGGCGTGTTTTCTTTGTTAGACACAATATTAACGAGATCTAACAGACAATCTTGCCATGGAAAGTATAGAGGATGTTCTTGAAAATAATTGTAATGTAAATGTCTAATGTGAACATTAACATTAAAATTACTTCTAAGGACATCGCCTATACTTTCCTTGGCTTAACATTACAATTACTTCTAAGAACATCACCTATACTTTCTTTGGCATGATTGTCTGTTATATCTCAAACTGTAGCGAGAAAGTCTAGCTAGATGTAGCAAAAACTGTACATATATTGTTTGCTCTACATCTTCGGAGGTTTTGTTGGCTGCGTTTCTAAGTTTTTTCACTGTTGTTTGTTTAGTGAGTGTTAAGTCTTGCTGCTAGTTTTCTCTTGGTCATTATTAAATCATGTTTGCTGTGCCACCCAGCGTCCTCTCAATCTATTTCCACAAGCACCCCCACCAATATTCCTGACAAAACAAATGGTGAGCCTGTGCCAGGATCAAAAGATCCCACTATCATTTCTGTTCCTGCCCAGTCACTCATACTCGTTGAGTGCAGAGATTGATCGCAGAGTGTATTCACAGCAAGGTCAGTTTCATGTTACATAGTACTATTCTAGAAATCTGGTGCAAAATTATAGTAATGCCTATATAAAGGCTAGCATTTTTGTTTAGCTGACACATGAAAGGCACACACAACAGATAACAGGCAGGGCTAACGTAATGATATTCTTGTGCTATTTCTGAGTTATCTCATCACTATATATTTTTTCCAACATTACTTTCTTCTCAGCGATCGTGAGATCATTGCAATATTCAGTTTAATTATTTCCCTTAACCACACACTCTATATCACACTGCTGTGTGGCAGAACCCACTGCATACTGATAGTAGCCAATTACTAGCATTACTCAGCTTTATTTATCTAATTTAGATGTCTATCCAAAGCAATTACCTTATATAGCACTCAACCTTGATGCAGTAATGAGAACAACTAGCCACTCACATTAAGATGCGGGAAACCATGCAGTGTTGCATATACATAGGTTATGCCTTCCATGGGACCATAGCCCATTTTATCCTGTTTGTCACTGGAGCAACACCCTCCTGGTTTGACTTCACTTCTGTGATGTTCATAAGCAGAGAGTTTTCCTACTATTTCCGGAGGGGGCTATATATATCTACTGCTCCATATATATATATATATATATATATATATATATATGTGTGTGTGTGAGATCTAACAGAAAGTAATGCCAAGGAATGTACAGGGGAAGTTATTAGAACCAATGGAATGTAAATAAGAAGAAAGAAAAGTGGATGAAAAAATAACCAGCCGTGGGCAGGAATCGAACCTACGACCTTTGAATAACGCGTTCGATGCTCTAACCACTGAGCTACCACAGCGGCCTTCTCTCCATCAACTTTTTTTGGGTTTATATGTGAATTTAGAAGTAGGAGTGACAGTCAGCGCCATCTATAAGCCAAACGACGAGTGTGAAAACACTCTTATGCGCATGTTTGGCGTCACGTAGCATGTGAACTTATTATGAGCGGGCAGCTGATTAATTGTCCTTCTTATACAACCTAAACACACCAAGTCTGCCATTACGAGACCCTCGTTCAATGAAAATAAGGGAAAGAAGTGTATACCTAAGGGCTCGTTTTTCCGTGTTTTAACACAATATTAATGAGATCTAACACACAGTAATGCCAAGGAATGCACAGGGGAACTCGTAAGTTATCGGCTTGAGATTCCTTTGTAAAAGTATCGATAATCACACGTTTATATCGACCAGTATTTTTTACTTGCCTTTGAATATATTGAACACCGTATGAGCTCGAAGGTGCGCTTCGGCACTCGCTGCACCCTGCGATATCCATGGTCCATGGTAGTGCAGGCTACGCAGGCGAGCGCAAGTTAGAAAATGCGCTTTGGCACTCGCAGTGCCCGGCGGCGTCCGTGTGGCACCACGCCTCCGCCAAGACCCGATTGATTGATGATTGATGTGGGGGGTTTAATGTCCCAAAACCACCGTATGATTATGAGAGATGCCGCAGTGGAGGGCTCCGGAAATTTCCACCACCTGGGGTTCTTTAGCGTGCACCCAAATCTGAGCACACGGGCCTACAACATTTCCGCCTCCAACGGAAATGCAGCTGCCGCAGTTGGGATTTGATCCCGCGACCTGCGAGTCAGCAGCCGAGTACCTTAGCCACTAGATCACCGCGGCGGGGCGCGCCAAGACCCGAAACGCTCGGAAAAAAAAATTAAGGGTGAGAGGGCTCAGACTGCACAATCTCCAACTTGGGGAACGGCTTTTTTTTTTTTTTTTTAAGACGATAGTCTTTCTTGGGGACCTTCGACGCAAAACTTTGGTCTGTCTGTCTGTACACTTGTCTGTTTGTCCACTCTTATGTTTGTCCACTCTTAATGGCACCGGGTATTTGAAACGGCTGACCCCATCCACAGCGCCCACCAATGTTGCTCAAGGTTTAGCGTTCATACTTGTGCGATTGTCAAATAATAAGCAATTATTGCACAAGACTGGGGCAACATAACACGTATATATTCCGCATGTGCATCTTTTACTAGAAAAGGCACACATAAGTAATTTTAAGGAACGTAGCGCTTCTCACGCTGCACTGACCATGCAATGCTTGCACAAAAAGGTGAGTGTTTCCAACGCTTTGCTAAGACGTGATGGTGGTGGCACCTATCCGTCGCTTTGCATTCTACACCTTATCACCTCTGAGACGGGCGTGCACACCAGTCTCAGAGCCACGTGCTTCGTTTTCCAAGAACACTGCCAGGTGGCGCTCATGTCTCACGTGTGACGTGACTTGATGCGCTCGTTCGCCTCTGCTGCACGCTCGAGGCACTCTAACGCAGCGCCTCCAGAATACCATACACCGATTTTCTTGCGCAGAACATCAAATAAATTAGTTTCGGCGACATTTGCAGATTACATGCACATACAGGACCAATTTTTTTTTTTTCATCGTTTCTCTTTCATGCTTTCTCCGCGTACCCGTCAGCAGGAACGAAGGAGCCAACGTCCTCCTCCTTTCACCTTTTATTTTACTTTTTTGTTGCTGTTTTGAGAGTTTTGATCAGCCAACCACAGCTCGCGCCTTTTGCTGTTGCTCTCGTAGGTGGCCATCGCCTCGCAAGCGCTGTGTTGCTTTCGTACGTGCGTTACCTACATACCAACACTTGTGCAGCATTTCTCTTTTGCATGCGTGGTGCGCAGAGCTGCTGCGACTCCTTGAATTGTCGACTATTTGTGTAGCTATTGCCAGCGCCAAGAAGCGCAAGACCCTTGACATTGTGAAGAAATTGAAGGCTATTCAGCGTGTTGAGGCGGGTGAGAAATGTTCGACCGTCGCGGAAGACTTCGGGATACCACAGAGCACTCCGAGTACCTTGTTGAAGAACAAAGCCAATATCAAGGCAAAGGCGAAGGAGCAGCGAACTTCAGAAGCCTGTCGTGTGCGCTCCTGCCCAAGGCAA